GAAAAAGAAAAAGAAAAAGAAAGAGAAGGGGATGGGGGCTGAAAACGTAGTCAGTGTAAAGGGCCTGAGTTTAATTCCAAATATCACAGAGGAGGGGGATTATTAGAACATCTAAAATAAGTAGAGATAAAAGAGCACGTTTCATCTGACATTATTTCTTTTCTTGGGGGCAGAACCGGGGATTGAACTCAGGCCCTTGTACTTGCCAGGGAAACACTCATTCCACTGAGCCATCTCCCTGGCCCCTGACATCATTTCTGACAGCAATAGATATATACTTTATTTTATTTTAGATCTAACACTTGTAAACAACAGAAAGCTGGTTCTCCTGGGCTCAAATATTGACTTTTGTTAGACTGAGTATTCCACCTATTTCATCCATTTAAATGTGCTCAGGTTACATATACTGTTGTTCTTAGTGATTAGTCTTTAACTAATCAACAATCCTAGATAACAGAATATACACTTTTACTTTTCTGTTTATACCCACCTCATGTTCAGACCTTTTCTGTATTTGTTCCAAACAGACCCTTATATATTCACATTCAGCAAAACATCTTTCTTTGTTTTCTTTGCTAACTAATAGTCTTGAATTGTATTTCCTGCATTTATTATTCTGCTCCCTGGAAAAAGCATAAGCATTTAATAATACCTGCAGGGAGAATCTAAGTATCTGCATATTTGAAAATACTTTCTATTTTGACATAAATTCAAAGTAAAAAACAAAAAACATTTCTCATAATTTTGAAGATTTAGTCCACTTTCTTTTTATCTGTAACCCTCTAACAAGAATCTTGTAGTCAATTTGCCTCTCATTTCTTTATTTTTCACCAGAGGAGGAGGTCTGTGATTTTTTTTTTTTAAATCTCTAGTGCATGTTCTGAAATTTCACGTTCTGAAGAAATTTCAAGGGCTGAGGAGGATAGCTCAGTAGAATAAGTGCTTGCTTGGCAAGAGCAGGGTCCTGAGTTCAATCCCTGTTACCGTTAAAAAAAAAAAAAAGAAATTTCATGTTCTGACGATCCTGCTTAACACTATCTTCCTCTAATTCTGAAAAATGATTGTATATTTAAAAAAATTTTTTCCAACTATTACCTCTTTCTGGAAATACTGCTAGATATTTATAACTGATAGTTGTCTCCACATTTAAATTTACTTTCTCTTAGCCAGGAGTGGTGGTACATGCCTATAATGCCAGTACTTGGGAGGGTAAGGCAGGAGGATCATTGTGAGTAGTCTCTATAGTGAGTATAAGGCCAGTCAAAACTACACAGTAAGACTCTGTCTCAAAACATACACATACAAACAAACAAATATAACACTTTTTGCGGGGGGGGGGGGGGCAGAACTGGGGATTGAACTCAGGCCCTTGTGCTTACCAGACAAGCACTTATCCTACTGAGCCATCTCCCCAGCCCACAAATATAACACTTTCCATTTATCTATTTACACTATATTCTGGGAAAAATTCACTTTTTCTGTCCATGTACTATTTTTAAAGTTATCAGTTAGCTAGGCTCAGCACTTGGGAGGCTGAGGCAGGAGGATCACTGTAAAATAGAGACCAGCCTGGGCTACATAGTGCGTTTAAGGACAGCCTGAACTAGCATGACCTTGTAACAAAAGAAGGGGAGGGGAGGGGAAAAGGAGGGAAGCACTAGTTGTCACGAGATTTCAGGTTGATTTTTACAGATGTAACAATATATGCTTGTATTTCTATCACATCATACAATACTCATTCTAAAACTCTATTCTGCTTTTTAACTGTCCCTTCAAGTTCAACTGAGTTTAATGTTTACTGATTCAATTTAAAGCACTTTGCGTCTATCTTTCACTTTTTGGTGTCCCTTAATTTTTTTTGGTTATTTTATGGTTTTGTGTTCACCCTTATATTCGAAATTTTATTAGAACATCTTTAAACATTTGCATCTGATTGTAGCTGGGATAAAGATACATGAGCTGGGGATGCAGCTCAGTACGAAGACCCTAGATTCAACCCTCAGTGTACCATGAAAACAAGCGAGGGGGAGGGGAGGAAAGAAGAGGGGGAGAGAGAGCGAGGAAGACCTTTTTTTTTTGTATCACCATGAATAAAAAGTGTGATGCTTCTTAACAATTCAAAAATTGTATTTACTTACTACTGTCCTTGGAAACATTTTTAATACTTTGTGAGGCAGGGCACCTCCTATGATCTATCTAGCATTTCTACTCCTAATGCAATTCTTGCATACCTACTTTAGGAGATTTGTATATAGAGTGACAGTTTAGATCTAAAATACTGTCCAAAAATCTCATGTACTCACAAATTGGGCTTTTAGAAGGTGACTGAATCATGAGGGCTCTAATTTTTTCAGTGGATTTAACGATGTTAAGATCATAATTTGGGCTGGGGAGATAGCTCAGTGTCATTAAGTGCGTGCCTGGCAAGTGCAAGGTTCCAAGTTCAATCCTTACCACAAAAACAAAAGAGACCATAATTTGATGGTATTTTGGGAGAAAAATGAAACTAAGAAGGAGGGGTCTACTTGAAGGAAGTGGATCATGGGAAAAAACCCTGGGGGCCTTATTTTCTTCTTGGCCTCTTCATCTCTGGCTCTTTTCCTACCTCTTGCTTCCTGGCTGCCACTGAAATAAGTCCTTCTGTCATGACACTGTTGCTTCACTATAGGCCTAGAAAATAAGGGATTCAGCCTACAATGAACTGAAATCTCTGGAACTATGAGCCAAAATATATTTTTCTCTTGAAGTTGTTTTTCTCAGGTGTTTGATTACAGCAATGAAAAGCTAACACACAAAGGTTTATAATAGTACTCTTCATAAGTGGTACAATACTTCATAAGTGGTAAAAAAGTACTCTTCTTAAGTGGTTAATATAGCTATTAACCAACAGCAGATGGAAACAAACTCATTAAATCATAGTAAAAGTAAATGAACTGTTGCCACCAACATTAAAAACAATGTTTTATAAACAAAGTCCAAGAATACACTTAAATGAAAATGGGGCAAACCCCAAATCTATTGTTCAAGAATCTATTCATAGTTGGCCAGATATGGTGATGCAAACCTGTAATCCCAGTACTTGGAATGCTGAGACAGGAGGACTGCAATGAGTTTAAGGTCAGCCTGACTACATAAGTGAGCTCAAGGCCATCTTGCACTACACATGGTAAGATCTTGTCTCAAAAAAGTAAAAAATAAATTAAAAAGTAAGAATATATTCACTTAGTAAAAAGCTAATGAACAACAATAACAAGTTTCCAAGTTTGTAGTCTAGTAATGGAGGAAGGGAGAAAGCTTTCAAGATAGATCAATGTTCTACCTTAATCTAGGTAAAAGGAACATGTGTTTATTTAACCTTTTACCTAGTTTTATACGTCCTGACTGTATGACACAGTTCATCACAAAACATGAAGAATCTATAGCAGGTACTCAAGCTGTAAATTTATATACTATTATTACCTTCCCTATGCTATTTCACAGCTATATGGTAGCCATGTATTATTTAGTAATTATAAATAACATGAAAGCCTTAAGTGTTACTGAACATAGGTCAGACATAGGATTATTTTCTTATATGGAATACAGAATGATGATTTTAATATCACTTCTGTATTAATCTGCTCAGCATACCATATAACAAAACAATGTAAGTTGGAGGCTTAAACAGAAGCTTATTATTCTCTCAAGGCTCTGGGATTAAAATCTAAGATCAGGCTGCCACTATGACTGGTGTCTGAAGAGAAGTCTCTTTCTGGCTTGCAGACAACCACCTTCTCATTGCACCTCTTCATGGTGTAGACTAAGCTTTTAGATACTTCCACTTCTGAGGACCCCATCTTAATGTTCTCACTTAACCTTTATTATTTCCTCAGAGGTCATATCCCGACATACAACACTGAGGAATTTACCATATGGGTTAGGCAGATTAACAGTAACACTTTCCTAACTCAAGGTTACTACTACTCCTTTGATTATAAACATCCAAGACATGCAAAACAGGTATCTCACACTAATAAGACATTATTTTTCTGGAATAAAATGTCTGATCTCAGGAAACAACTAAAGAGGAACACACTCAGAATTGTATTCCTCTGCGAGGGTAAGGGCCAACATCCACTGAGGACAGGACTAGAAGCTGAAATAAAGTCAGACATTCTTTCATAAGAAACATAAAAATCTTAATTGCTTTACAGGATAAAGAAAGATCAGGAATAGAGAAGAGATATCTTATTTCTAAAATCTCCCCATTTCTTTACAGTTATGAACTGCAGAATGCAATTTTCAGTGATCAGCACAGTCCACAAAGTCTTAAACCATAAAGTAGTTGAATTTAGATAAATCACTTTAGTCTCTTTAAATTTCATTTTTCAATTTTAAGTTAAATGCACTATAAAACCTACTAGGAGAGCCTGAATAAACTGCAGTGGTTTTTGTGTATGCATATATTGGTATACTTACAAAATACCTACATTTTTGATGTTAAAAATTACAAATCTACCAAAAGAAGAAAATTTAAGTAGTACTATAATCAACTAACCTTCTTCTGTTGCGTGCAGGTGTGTTGCATCGTTCCCCTGAGAAGTGATGTTGGCTTGGTCGAACTGAAGGGGGCTGCCTATTTGATGTCATCTCCCATGGTCGCATGGGTGGTGAGGGAGCTGGTGAGGCGGATGTATAATCAAAGACTGAATGAGAAAGGCGCTGTCTCTTAGGACTTGGACTATCTTCACTCTGCCAATGCAACCAAATACAACTAAGTAAGACCTTGTAAGGATTTCACATTACTGCATGCCCATAGGTGCTTCTATTTACCCTAAAACTGTAAAGGTGGGTATAACATGCATTATCAATCCAAATTAAAAACCTTTTAAAAAAATACTGGAGTAGTAGCAGATAGAAAGAGAGCCACAGTATTATTCTCATAAGAAAAATTAACTGTTTTTGAAAATCATCATAAGGCCAGGAATTTAGTACAGTAATGCAGTGCCTACCTGGCAAGCATGCATGAGGTCCTGAGTTCAAGTCCACGGAAGGGGAGAATCATAATAAAATGTCAGGAAAAAACAAATAAGGTATACAATAGTGCAATAAACTTTTATGTAATATTTGACCTCTTTGAAATCCTGATGTAACTAGCCATGAGATGAGCAGCTTTGCCCTACCAATGTTACTAGCCATGATGTGCTGCCCTTGCCACAGGTCCAAAAGCAATGAGACCAACCAAAAATGAACTAAAACCTCTGAGGCAAACTAAACCTCTCTTTATCGGAAGAAACAAACACAAAATGAATCCATCTGAAAAACTCCTTTATGCTATATTACAATTATCAGTCATGCAAGGATTAATGGCTTAGGAGGCAAATGTCCTCCTGAGAAGTCCTCAACTTGATTCTAAATTACACTTCCCTCTCACCTTATTTTTGTTTAGGCTATTACATTTATGTTCCTTAATAATGGTTACATGACTAAAACAAGATTTACATGGGGCCAGTGAGATAGCTCAGCAGACTAAAGTGCCTGCTTAGGCAAACTTAGGCAAGCGCAGGAATCACGGTTCAATCGCCAGTACCACATGGCACACCAGCCCTCCCCCCAGTGCAAGCTGGGCCAGCCACAGAGTCTGGGCACAGGGGTATATGCTTGTAATCCCAGCACTTGGGAGGCTGAAAAACAGGAAGATCACTTTAAGTCTGAGCTACATAGTGAGACCGTGCAACAACCAAATACATTAAAATAAATAAGATTTGTATAAAACAGATAAATTAACTGACCTAGACCATCAGTCCCTAATTAGAAAGTCATTGTCTATTAGAAGTACTGTCAAGTTTTCAAGGGTTACAGTATGTACTTGCTAGCTATAAAACTGATATAATTATTTAATTATATCAGTAAGTCTCTAGGATTCTCCACCCACCTGAATGTCCAATCCAATTGAGTCTCACTGAAATGTCAAAATGACAGAAAATTTGGTAAGAATGTTTTCTAATAGGTCTCTTCTATTTCTAACCTACACTTATAAATTCTAATTATTTGGGCATAAGAGTATTTTTGATTGCCAAATAATTGATACTTGATATAAGCACAAAAACTGTATCATAACACTAGTAAAAGAACATAGTATATGGTGCTACCTACTATAATGTTAAATTTAGATAATCATATAGCTACGCAAGGTAGCTGTAGTAATCCTACTACTTTGGGAAGCTAAGGTACTAAGAAAAAAAATTCAAGCCCAGCCTGGGTAGTTTAGTGGGTTAAAAACCCCCTGCCCCAAAATTTCAAATAAGGGGATGGTGTTAAAAGCACATAGCTTGATATGAAGGCTCTGGGTTCAATCTCAACTACAACCACAAAAGTAAGAGGGGTGAGGAATTGATTTTCTCTATGTAATTTCATGCATGACTAAACAAAAGATTTAAAAAGCACTGGGGATATAGCTCACTGTTAAGGCCCTAGGTTAAATCCCCAGTGCAGCAAAAATGAAGCAAACTTTCTTCTCTTCTTTTTTTTTCTTTTTGCAGAGCCAGGGATTGAATTCAGGATGAACTATCTATTCCCCTAGCCCCGCAAACTTCTAAATAGTTACATTCGTTCATTCCAAAAAACATGTCCTTTTCTTTATAATTAAAATAGAAAATAAGATTCAAAGCCACAAATGAAAGCATGCTTTTTATACTTCTCCCTACCAACACACTAATTTATGTTCTTTTAATAATGCTTAATAACATACTATTTTTACCTCTTGATTTTAAAACTTGCTTACAAAAACAAGTTCCTATATTCTGTAACCCCAAAATTCAGACATTCTGAATCTTTAAAAAGGAGAACAGAAAGACCTGACAAACTCATAAACTATACATGAGCACCAGAAACAAGCTATCTCATCAACTGATAAAACTAATTTGACTACCACTGACTCTTGAAAGTAAAAGGTTAACTAGTCATGATACTTTAGCTTTCATTGGTGACCCACAATGCAGATACTATAATGCAGAGCCTGATGCAATTTACTATATGGATCTTTCAATTCTAAAAATCGTAACTAAAATGGAGGCAAATAACACAGATTCACATGTTAAAGGTCAAATAAAATGAGAAAGCATGTACACTATAAAGTTTTATGTATTTTCAGTGATACTCCTCTTCATGTTGTCATGGTTTTGCATGGGTGAAAAAGAAAAGGCTAAGAGTAAAAGAAGTAAGCTATTCATTAGTGTTCCAGTAGTCTTTCTTAAAGCTAGAGAAAACCAAGATGGATACTTAAAGACAGGAAAACATGAAAAGTTAGTCTGCTATATGTAGGAGGTTTCATCACATTCATCTATTTTAGTACACTGTAAGGAACACCAAAAGATCAGTTTAAGGCTGGGAGATAGCTCAGCAGTTTAAGTGCCTGCCTGGCAAGCACAGAGACCAAGGTTCAATCCCTGGTGCTGCATGCTGTGCTGGCCCCAGGCTGAGCCAGCCACCAAAATGGAAACAGGGTATGGTGGTGTACGCCTGTAATCTCAGCACTGGGGTGGCTGAAACAGGAGGATCACTACGAGTTCGGCTGCGTAGCAAGACCAGGTAAGTAAATAATTAAAAAGAAAAAGAAATCCTCAGTTTCCAGAAAACTGCAGAGAAATAAGCTACAAGAAACAAGATTATCATGAGACTTCCCATGTAAACAAAGGATACTAAAAATGCTTGGAAGGAAAAATACAACGATGAAAACTTTATACTCCAACTAAACTCCACCTAGTGTGAGGTCAAATGTACAAACATCATCATAAAAACTTTAAAAATTTTTATTTTCACAATTTAGAAAACTTTTATTCAATTAATTTTATTTATTTAGGTATTTTGAGATAAGGTCTCATGTAGTTCAGGTGGCCTAGAACTCACTATGTAGCATAGGCTGGTCTTGAACATTTTTTTTTTTTTTTTTTTTAGTACAGGGTCTACTGGGTCTCACTACACAGATCGGACTTGTAGTGATCCTCCTGTTTTCAGCCTCCCAACTGTTGGGATTACAGGCAGAAACACCCTAAAACATGCCCTGGGGGCAGAGCCAGCACAACAAGCTGGGGATCGAACACGGGTCCCTGCACCTGCCTACACAGGCAGGCGCATTAGTCTGCTTGAGCTATCAGGCCAACCCTGGTCTTGGAACTTTTCAATGATTGTCCTCCCTCTGCTTCCTGAGTGCTAGGATCACAGGGGAACTTCACTACACCCCACCTTAACTGGTTTTATATGTATGCTTGCAAGTCCTTCCCTCTCCTAATTTAAAGAGGTACACATAATCCCCCAACAGAGGTAAAAATAACTCAAAAGTATAATGAAAAAAAATCCCAGGAATGGCAATAGAGCAACACTGAAGAGCAATTATTCCAAATTGGAAGTCAGAAAAATGACCTAAATAAAGTATTGGTCGTGAACTTGGGAGAGTTTAGTACAATTTAAGTACACAGCTGTTTAGTCATAAAGAATATAAAAACCGATCACAATCCAGGAAAATAAAAAAGGCAAATCTTCTTAACCTTCTAAAACATTCTGATTGGAACAGGCAGTCTCTGTGGGCCAAACATATTCCTGGTTCTGCAATGGATAATGTACAGATATCTCTTATGCTATAAAGAATGCTTGTAAATGTTTGCTGGTTTTCAATAATTAAACTTAGGGCGAGGCAAGAAAGATCAAGATTGTAATATAGGATAGAGCATTAAGTATCGTAAACTTTGATATGATAAAAACAACTCTTAAAAACTCATTTTGCAGTTAAAAAAAAAAAAAAACCCACTGTAAAGTCACTCAGTGTCCAGAAATAATGGCTTGCAATACACTGTACTTAGAAAACAAGAATCATTATCAAGGACCCCAAAACAAGAAGGAAAACTAAAAACCAGTTGCCCTTGCAGCAGCAGCATTATCATCATCATTTGTAGTACTGAGAATTGAAAGATCTTTGCATTGAGCTACTTCCACCAGTCCATCCTAGAGACTGAACTCAGTCTTGCAAAGGCATCTAGTTGGGTTTAACTTGTGATCCTCCTATAACCCTCCAGAATGCTAGAATTACATGCATGTACTACTATGTCTAGTTCAGAGTTTTCAGATGTTCTCAGGAAGAATAAAAGACATCACTTGAAACTTCTGCACAAAGTTGAAACTTCCAAAGTGGTGTTATTTACAATAAGCAGAAGACTAGAAAAAGTCATACCACTGGTATAGTCAACAAGGACATTTGTCTGGATTTGACGTATTTCTCCCATGGCAATACAAACACAGGTCCACTCTTTACACCATGTTTGTCAAGACTATTAATACCCATGCTGTCTGTAATCTCTAAGCTTAAAAGTGAACTCATCCAAGAACTATGTTACCACTAGAACTTTTTTTGAAGGGGGGGATCTTTTTGAGGGTTTTACTATGCAGTTCAGGCTGGCCTTGAACTCTCAGTGATCCTCTTGCCTTAAGTCTCCTGAGTGCTGGTATTATAGGTGTACACCACCACATTCACTACTAGCAGTCTTTATAGTAGGCACAAAATTGAATTTGTAGGGATACTCCCATTACCTAGGCTCAATGATTCTTATACTTCTGCATGCCTCAGATAGCAGAACATTAGCTTTACTCCCCAGTTATAAACTCAGAAGAAAGCATGGGAGACTAGGGACCAAGAATTAGAGTTTCTGATATGATCCCTCCCAGGTGATGCCTGGTGGTGCTGGTCCGAGGTCAAACTG